TTTTGATATATTTACGGTAAGAAATTTACAAAATATCTTCATGGAACATGATCTTTACTTAATATCCTAATGATTTTTGGCATAAAAGAAAAATCGATCATTTTGACCCATACAATGTATTGTTGGCTATTGCTACAAATATACCCCAGCGACTTAAGACTGCTGTTGTGCTCCAGGGTCACAAATGTCAATGCAAAAAATGCTGTTGCCATCCTTTCATCACAACAATAAGCAGTTTTAGCCTTAAGGCTAAAAATACAGTTTATTTGTGGTAAAAATCACACAACACGAGTACCTTTCCATAGAGCGCATGAGCCAGAAATGGGATTTTCCTCAAAGCTCTTCCACTGAGTCCCACACTCCTCCTGTGCAGAAAGAGACACTCGTGAAGATCCATTCTCTGAGACTTTCAGTACTAGCTGCGTCATAAGCAAACACTCACTGAGCGATATTCCTCAGCGTTAAGCTCAGACGGGTCACGTCGCTCTCCATGAAGTTCATGGTGCCCAGTTCCTCCAAACTCAGCAGCTGCTGTCTGGGGTAGACGATCTGACGCTGCAGGGAAGGTTCAGATCGATACTGTTGCATTCGGCAGAAGAACAGAGATGTTCAATGGTTCAAGGAAACGAGCTCACCTTCATGAGTTCCTCCAGACAGGACAGATAGATGTTGAAGATGGCGCTGGCACTCGGGGGGCCGATGTACTGCTTTATATCAGCTCTGTCCACAAAGGCCAGATCGATCTTTTCTGTGATGTTGGATGTGGTGAGGATGACAACATCTGGGTGCCTGAATGAGGAAAACGCAAGGTTTGCATGATTACGAATAGGGTTGCAAAAAGGTGGAAAATTTCCAGAAAATTTTGGAAACTTTCCAGGATTTTTTGGAATATTCCAGGGATTTTTGGAAAGTTTCCACCCCTTTGCAACCCTAATTACGAATGAATTTTAGTTCCATAATATGACATATTTCAACATGCAACAGGTTATTCAATTGCATAAAAAGCAGGGCAAGAAGGGAAAAATGCTGGAGCAGGTTATTATATTTTGATGAAAGACCACAAATCATGCACAAGAAGAGCAGGAGCGTGCATTCAGCAAATAGTCGTTCTGATTTCAAGCATGCCTTTGTAGATGAAAGTGAGCCGTGTGGGACAGATGAAGAGAAACTGACCGTTTGATCTGGTCGAGCTGGGTCAGAACTGACTTGACCACCCTAATAGCGTCAGACGGCTCTGTTCCTGCTTGAGCGGCGCTCCACGCGGCTGTGAGACTCTCCACATCATTAACCCTCAGAGACCTGCAATGTTTGTGTACTTTCACTAAATATGGGTAAAAACAGCAACAGACACTCAAACTTATCACAACAGATTTTGTGGGGGGGAAGCAATGCATATTATATGCCACAGCTTGCTCAAGTCACCTTTTGGGACATATTTATCTAAGTAAGTATTAAGTATTACATATTTTTTATTAATTTAAATATTATTATTTTAATTTCTTATTTGATTTCTATATATGTCTAGTGATGGAAAAAGGTTTACAGGTTTACTGATTTTTTGAACGTACATAAATTCGAGACCAACTTTTTTGTGAGCTCACCACCATGTTTTTTTTGTATTAAATTAAGTGGCATTGAAATTACTATATTCTATTTAAAATATGAAGAGTTTATTTGCAAAAACAGATAACTCCGTTTTGTTACATTTTCAAAAATCATGTTTTTTATTATGTAATCATGTTTTTATTGTGTTTTATTGTGTTAGTTAGCTGTAATTTTTAGTTATTTTTTAACCTAATCAAAGTAACCCAACTGCAGTTTGATTGAGATTAATTGGAATGCACAATGAAAAAAAAACATAATTTTTGAGAATTGTTCAAAGCGAAGTTATCTGTTTTTGCAAATTAACTCTTCATATGCTTTAATAATATTACAGTATTGGTCTAATAGTAAAATTTCTGAACTTTTCATGACTATCCTTTCTGGTTGCATTTGTAGTGCTGAAACGTGTTGCTAATGCAAAACTTTTACTCACTGTATCTAAAAAATATTTTTTACTCCTATATGCATGGTGAATTTGTTTCTGGCTGTTGACAGTAATTTCTGGTTTATAGAGTGATAAAAAGAGCCTGTCTAAAATGTTCTAGAAATGTATGCACAAATTAGTGCATATTTAATTAGATAATGCATCGTTTGCATATTTAAACATAAAATTTCCAAAGATTTGAACTAAATACCAAAAACACCATTTTCCAAATTACTTTGCCTAAACAAAATGGTTTTTACAATTAATGGCTTCCTAAAGACATGCCAAAGGGTGAAAAAAAATATCAATATATCAAAATATCCAAGCTGTTTTAGAAAAAATGAATTGAAATCAACCGACCAATAAAACAGATCATCATTCAGATTCACTTATAATCAAATCATCATTCATTAGAGGATGTGAATTACAGTGTTAATGAGAAGGTAATATCACTGTAAAGCAAGGGTTCTCGTGGTTTATAGCTTTTCTAAACCAGTCTAAAGTGGTCTAAGGCCAGTCTGAACAGTTAAGACCAGATTTAACTGAGAAAAGCTGTTTGTTGGCCAACAAACCGACTGGTTTAAATGGTTTTGTTCAGCAAGAGTGAGTCAAATGAAACAAAATAAAAGACACGAGAAAAAAAAAAGAGAGAACCTCGTCTATCAGGACAAACACCAGAGCGTCTTTATCGTCAATGAGCTCCTGAATCTTCTGAAACATCTTTGTGACCAGTTTCCCGCTCTGTAAAAGCAGTCAGATGTCAATGAGGTTTCAGACACGGATCTGAGGAAGCGTTTCAGAGCAGACGGATCCAGACGGACCTCTGAGAACCACTTGGAGAAGAGGCTGTGGCTGTTAATCTCCCCGAACTGGCTGTGTGCATACCTGTTTAGGGAGGAAACGCACAAACAATGGTAAATAGACACAGGACGCTCTACAGCTGCCTGTCTGCTTTTATGAAGATGTCACACCTGCCAGACAGTCTGATGGAGAGTTTCTGGGCAAGTCCTTTACACAGAGACGTCTTCCCGGTGCCAGGCGGCCCTGAGGGGTTAGGAAAGACGCGCAACTGTATAAACATGGCAGAAGACAGAAAGTGCTGAGCTTTCAAACAAGCTTTTACTGTCTTACCGTGAAGTAACACGACACGATTCCAGGCAATCAAATTGCTGTCGACGTTTCTGTCAGAGAAGAAAATTGTTGTCGAAACATAATCCAAGAGCTGGAGACCGAAGTGAAGACAAAGGTCATGTTATGGAACGCGATGGAAAAAATGTGTCAGTTTTGCAATACTACTTATGCTGGCATTCAGAAGTTAGGAATAATTACGATTTTTAAAGACGTCTCTTCTGCTCATCAAGGCTGCATTTATTCAATCAGAAATACAGAAAAAACAGTAATATTGTGAAATATTATTACAATTTATAATAAGTGTTTTCTGTGTGAGTATATTGTAAACTGTAATTTATTTCTGTGATCAAAGCTGTATTTTCAGCATCATTACTCCAGTCTTCAGTGTCACATGATCCTCCAGAAATCATTCTAAAATGCTACTTTATTACAGTTTTGCTGCTTACATTTTTTTTTGAACCGGTGATACTTTTTTCAGGATTCTTTGATGAATAAAAAGTTAAAAGAACAGCATTTATTCAAAATAGAAATATTTTCTAACAATATACTGTAAGTCTTTGCTATCACTTTTTATCAATTTAACACATCCTTGCTGAATAAAAGTATTAATTTCTTTCAAAAAATAAAAATAAAATATTTTGAACGGTAGTGTATATTGTTACAAAAGATTTCTATTTTGAATAGCTGATGAAAATTCAGCTTTGCTTCACAGGAATAAATTATATTTTAAAGTATATTAAAATAGAAAACCAATAATAATTTTTCACAATATTATTGTTTTTTCTGAATTTTTGATCAAATAAATGCATCCCTGATGAGCAGAAGAGACTTCTTTAAAAACATTTAAACTCTTACTGATCGCAAACTTTTGAACAGCAGTGTATGTGTGTGACTATCTGTGAGAAAATATGGATAATGTGTCCCAAACAAGTCTTGATGACGAAGAACTTGATATCAAACAATGCATGCAATTATAATTGGAGTTTTGTGGATTTTAATGTATGTCTCTTAGCTCTGAGCTCATACACTGCCGTTCAAAAGTTTGGGATCAGTAGGATTTTTAATGTGTTTTAAAGAAGTCTCTTCTGCTCATCAAGGCTGCATTTATTTGATCAGAAATACAGAAAAAACAGTAATATTGTGAAATATTATTACAATTTATAATAAGTGTTTTCTGTGTGAATATATTGTAAACTGTAATTTATTTCTGTGATCAAAGCTGTTGTTCGGTCACACTTTACATTAGGGCTTCATTAGTTAACATTAGCTTTTGCTCATTGTGAATGTTAATGCATTAACTAAGGTTAACTAATGAGGTCTTATTGTAAAGTGATACCTATTGGTCTTTATAGTTCTTTTGCACTTTAATCTGTGTAAAACTTTTAACTTTGTACATTTTTCTGTATTGCTTTATTGCATTTAAATGTTCAGTTATTTTTGTTATAAGAAAAAAGTTATTATACTGTATTATGAAGCCACTTTTTCTAACTGAATTTCAATATCGTGATAATACCGTATACCGTAATAAAAGCATTAGCAATTAATCGCAACATGAAAATTTGATACCAGCATATCCCTATTCAAATGTGACGTAAACAATATCAGATTTATAAACAAACCCAGAAACGAGCAAACTAGGCAGAAAGGCTAATTAACCAGCAGTGCTGGGAAGTAACTCATTACATGTAATCTGGATTACGTAATCAGATTCCAAAAATGAAATATTAGATTAAATTACATTTTAAAATACTCATATATTTCATTTTTTTTAATAAGTGTGATATTTTGATTGTTGTTATTTTGAAATTATTTATTTAAATTTTACATTATTATGATTCAATTATTAATTTACAAACCCCCTGCAGTTCATTCAGGAAAACCTTGATGTAATGTAATGATAAATGCACTTCATGTTGTTAATTACAATAAATAGAATATATTTTCTTTCTCTTTGTATTTTTATATCAATATGGTACAAGATTATCCTATTTAAATCAATGTGATAAACGAGTTAGGTCAAAAGTAATCTGATTATATTGTACAAACCCAGAAACGAGCAAACTAGGCAGAAAGGCTAATTAACCAGCAGTGCTGGGAAGTAACTCATTACATGTAATCTGGATTACGTAATCAGATTCCAAAAATGAAATATTAGATTAAATTACATTTTAAAATACTCATATATTTCATTTTTTTTAATAAGTGTGATATTTTGATTGTTGTTATTTTGAAATTATTTATTTAAATTTTACATTATTATGATTCAATTATTAATTTACAAACCCCCTGCAGTTCATTCATGAACCCCAGTTTGGGAAACCTTGACTTAATGTTGTTAATTACAATAAATAGAATATATTTTCTTTCTCTTTGTATTTTTATATCAATATGGTACAAGATTATCCTATTTAAATCAATGTGATAAACGAGTTAGGTCAAAAGTAATCTGATTATATTGTAATGTAACGGATTACGTTACTAACCGCAACTTGTAATCAGTAACGGATTACAATTTGTAAGTAATCTACCCAGCCCTAGCGAGGTATAATCCCACAGTAACAATAACAGTGTACCATTGTATTCTTAATGTGTTAGTATTCTTAAAGTGAACATGCAAGCACACTAAATTTTTATTATCACGAATTATCAACATCACGCAGGAACGGAAGTACTGTTTTCTGATTTTTTTTTATAGGTCTACTGGCGTATATTGTCTTAACTGTCATGTTTATTAACAGTTAAAGTAAATAAAGAAAGCAGAGTAAAACTAAACACACTCACCTCACAACAGCGAATTTACCGCGTTAACGGCGACGTCAGCCCGCGCCGGAACCGACACCGCCTGAAACCGGAAGTTAACCGTAGCTGCTAATGTTGTTGTTGTTGCTGCTGCTGCGTCGAAGAAGAGCGGCGGCAGGATTAAACCTGACTTTTCCTCATAAATAAAGGCAAAAATGGGGAAGAAGCACAAGAAACACAAACCCGAGTGGAGAAAGGTTGAAGGAGGTAACTTAACTAAAATATTAGATATGCGTATGAAAATCGAAAAGTAGGCCTGTCGCAATAATCAATATATCGACTTATCGCGCAATATATGTAACTTACATGACCTCAATAATTTTTGGTGACGTAATATATCGCCCATTATATTTACTTAAAAATTAATGTCACCCTTAATTTACAGAGAAAAGAAGGTCCGGGAAAAATCTGTAACCGTTAGATCTCCATACAAGTTATTTGTGCATTTTTCTTTTTTTCTACTTGTTTCCTTGCACTTTTTGTTAGAAAATGTTTATTTATTTTTTAATCAAGTTTTTTAAGGTATCTAATATTTTGATACTTAATTTCCGTGATCTAAATATTCTTAAAAATTAAAAGTTTGCTGTCATTTGGAAGTGTGTAGGCCTTCCTGCATTATTATGCTGTTACATTATGATTATATGTTCAGTGGCATAAAATGGTTTTTAAAATGACAATAATATGGTTTATCGCAATTATTTCTGGGGCAATATATCGCTCAACATAAAGTTGTTATCGTGACAGGCCTATCTAAGTGTTCTGCAAGTCTGTGTATTATTCCAAGTAGTCTATAAATGCATGATGCATTTGTTTTTATTCATACAAGAATACACAAATAATCGATTTACTTCATAATTATATATTTTGGGCGTTGTCTAAATCATGGGGGTTATGATCTTTAGATCCTAGAAGTTAAAAAGCAGCTAAATATTTTCATACTTAAAAGACCCAAATTATAATGTGAGGTTTTGATATTATAAATGTGTAGAATATTATTTGGAAAATGTATTTTTATTTTGGAAAATATTTTGGAAAGTTTTGCCCCTAGTCTCTGTACTGTACTGTTAAATATGTTATTTATTTACTTTAATACATTTCTGTTATTAATTTATTTGTTATTTTGCTAAAATCTTTTTTTAAATCTTTTTTTATTTACTTAATTTTTAGTCTTATTTCTATTATCTATTTGGTTTATTTATTATTTTAATAAAATGTTTTATTTATTTAGATTCATTTTATTTTATTCTATTTATTTATTTAAATTATTTATTATTTTATTATTATTATTTAGCATTATTTGATATTATAAATAATATTTTATTCTAATTTTTTATTGCTTATTTATTTAGTTTAATATTATTTTTATTATTATTTTTACATTTGTTACCCTGTCCACAGACCCTATTTTGAAAACCCCTGGTCCAAACAATTACAGTAAAGGAAATACACACTTCTGGATTTTTTTGCTGTAGTTAGTTTAACAAAACTATCGGGGGGTATTCAGTTGTATTTACACTAGATAGTGGGTTTGATCTTGTGATGCTCCTTGTAGTCTATCTCCTCCAGAACAGCAGAATAAGAGTTTACAGCGCAGAAATGTCATTAAGTCCTAATCATTAAAGTCTGTTCTATTTAGAATTGATGCTTGATGGCTTTGTGTGCCGTGTTTCAGACTACGAGGACAAACCCCTGGATAAACCGCTGAAGCTGGTGCTCAAGGTGGGCGGCAGTGAAGTGACCGAGCTCTCCGGATCCGGCCACGACTCCAGTTACTATGACGACCGCTCTGACCACGAGTGGGAGCGGCACAAAGAGAAGAAGAAGAAGAAGAAGAAGAAATCGGAGAAGGAGAAATATGTAGATGACGAGGACAGGAGAAGGAGGAAGGTGAGTGAAAAGAGCGACTCTTAAACACTCAGAAGTCAATCATCACTGTTACTAAGCTCATGTGTGGACATGAGTGGTTCCTCAAATCATGTAGCCTGTATTGTGCACAGTATGAGAATATTCAGCATGCATATTCATCCTATAGGATGACCTGCATGGAATACTGTAAACCCGCAATGCTTTTGAGCTTTCCAGTGAACCAGAAGTGATACTTCAGCCTCTTTCTTCCCTTATAATTTGATCAGACTGCCAGAAGGTGTCATTTTTACACAAAATGGGATTCAAAATGCAAAGTAACTAATTTCAAGAGGATAACTAGATGCTACTCGCTGAATTAAATGTGCAACATGATGGAGTTGTATGACAACAACGTTTGGAACATTTATTTCACCAGGTTTATTGGAGTTAACTAAAATTAAACTTACTTTAAATAAAATAAACATTAGCTGAAATTAAATTGAAATGGAAATAAACTATATAAAAAGCAACATTTTTCATTTGCATTTAGTTTAACTTGATGTACTAAAAAAGATAGAAAAGAAACTGAAATAAAAATTATATAAACTATATAGTCGGATAGAAAAGACAAAAACGCACAACAAAAATTACTAAAACTTTAATTAAAATTCAAATGAAAGCAGAAAATACAAAAATAAAAAATAATTCAACATATTAAAAAGAAAAAAAGATATATATATATATATATATTTCATCAAATGCTCATCAAGGCTGCATTTATTTGATCAAAAATACAGGAAAAAATTTAATATTGTGAAATATTATTACAATTTAAAATAATGGATTTCTATTTTAATATGCTTTAAAATATAATTTATTTATGTGATGCAGCGCTGTATTTTCAGCATCATTACTCCAGTCTTCAGTGTCACATGATCTTCAGAAATCATTCTAATATGCTGATTTATTATTAGAATTAATCAACAGTTGTGCTTCTTCATATTTTTTTGGAACGTAGTCGAATAAAATCGACGAATCGCGACAGCCCTAATCAATATATCAACTTATCGCGCAATATATAGTGGATCTGTAAATCAGGGAAAAATAATGTATATTTATTTTTTGCTCAGAAAAACAAAAACAAAATTGCACTTTTTAATTTGGGAGGGGGGATGACAACAATAATTTAAAGCAGTATTAAACTTAGTGTTTTTATGCTTAAACCCTTTTTTGTCTTTGACCCATCTAAAATGCATCCATTTTGAACAGAGCATACTAACATTTTTCACTTCAAGTTTCAAATTCAAATTATTAGGTAACACTTTACAATAAGTAATCCCGTTAGTTTGTTAATTAATGCATTAACTAACAAGTACCAATACATTTTGTTACAGTATTTATTATCTTTGTTACAAATAAATACAGTTAATAAAACTCAAGTGTTCATTGTTAGTTCATGCACATTAAATATAGATTTTAATAATGTACTAGTAAATGTCGAAATTAAAATAAACTAAGATTAATAAATGCTTTAGGAATATTAGTTCATTTTAACTAATGCAGTCGACTAATGTTAAAAAATAAAACCGTATTGTAGTGTTACCATGAAAATAAATATTGAAAATAAAATTCTAATCGTTAAATCATATATTTAGTTAAAATATAAGTATTTTTTTTGGCTCCGTTTTGAACAAAGTGTTCTAAAAATCTACTCCGGTTCCAGTTCCTTAAATTCAAATAAATTTTAGAATTCTGCAGCTTCAGATTCAAATTCATGAATTAAACTGTGGTTTAAAAGACAGTTCAGTTCTGAGTGATGCACAGTCCTGGTATCAATCAAAACAAAGCACTAATCACTAACCTTTTGGTTTTTCCCAGAAAACGAATCCACCCCTCGCCAGCAGCTCTTGGAGCATTTCTTGCGTTTGCTTCAGAGGTAGCACCCTGTTAAATTAGATGGCATTGTGATTCTAATCTTTCCTCATATCTGCATTATATAAGGACAGTCTTTCTGTCTCGGCAGGAAAGATGCACACGGATTCTTCGCCTTCCCGGTGACAGACGCCATTGCTCCAGGATACTCCATGATAATCAAACATCCCATGGACTTCAGCACAATGAAGGACAAAATCGACACAAACGAATACAAAACTATCACAGAATTCAAGGCACGCAAGTGTCCTGCTATTTAATCTCCATTAATCTTCATTTTCAGATTCTTTGTTAACTACTGATACATTTTCGGCTTTACTGAAATGACGTGTAACTGTTTTGTTTCTGATGTGTGACTCTCCAGGCAGACTTCAAGCTAATGTGTGACAACGCCATGGTTTATAACCGACCGGAGACGGTTTACTACAAAGCTGCCAAGAAGCTTCTCCACACAGGATTCAAAATGATGAGCAAAGTAACATTTTTAATGCAGTTTGGTTTTGGTTATTTTTTGCCTTTGTTGTTCATCCTCCAGTTCATCCGTGCCATCATTCCCGTTTGATTCGGATACGTGCGGTTATAATAATCTGACAAACATGTTTGTTGCTTGAAACAATATAAATGTTGACTTTAATAAAGTAGAATATATAAAAAAAAAACTTAAATTTATTTTATTTCAGCTAGCTGCCAAGTCAACAATTCTTATTTTTGTTTAGTTGAAAATACTCAACTTGAAATACTAAAAAAAGCTACTGCTAAAAAAAAAAATCTAATAAATACAAATTAATAAAAAACTGTATAGATATGTTGAAAAAAATAAAATCACTAAACTTTTACTAAAATTTAAGTGAAAACAGAAAGTATAAAATAAAATCAAAATATTAACAAAACCTATAATAAAACTAGTGAAAATGCTTCTCCCTTTTTGTGTGATTTTTTAAAAATTTTTTAATTACAATATTTTTCATTACAAATGATATGTTTATGGTTTATAAATGGAAGCAAGAACATCTGATTTTTCAGGATTCCCGTTGTCGGAAATGTTAGGGAATTTTAAAATTGTGATTGCAAAGCCTGGAAATTTCATGGACAAAATTAATACAATTAATAAATTAATTTTAAAAAATCATACAAATTAATCAAATCTTAAAAAGTGATGGAAAAGTCTATTACATATATTAAAAATTAGTATGTAATATATCATATAATATAATTATATTATAATAACTATTGCAAAAATGTGATATAATAATATATTATGTATGCATATTAATATAATATATGATGTAAATCAAAATGTAATTTATGATAACACTTAATTGAATAGATGTTGCTCTTTGTGTCCTAGAAATAGTAAAAGAGCTTAATCTTAAATGTTTTTTTTCTTGATTTTTCTTAATTTTTTGTATTTTTTCAAAATCCTAAAACTGTTAATTTTTAGTATTAGATGGGACAAAACTCCCAGACTTTAGTCACCTCACTGTAATCTAATTGCATTAGTGAGATGGTTAGTTTTGAGCAGTTTATGTGGCTCGAGTGCTCAGAGATGAGTATTTCCACCATGCAATCTCTTTCTTTATTTCAATCCATCCCGTGTTGGACGTTGCGCATCCCCCATCTTCATGGCGAACCTAAGACCTCCGCAGGAGGAGTAAATGGGTGCTGTGTTGCTCTATTTGTGCTCTGTTCACAGGAGCGGCTGTTAGCTTTGAAGCGCAGCATGTCTTTTATGCAGGACATGGATTTCTCTCAGCAGGCTGCCATTTTGGGAGATGACCACATTACGCCTGAGGAACCGGTGACGGAGATCACGCCAATCCACACGGAGTACCCCAAAAAGTCCAAAAAGCAGCCCGTCAAGGAGCCCATCATCAGGTAAAGCGCAGGCCGCTGATCGCTTTTGATCGTGTCTCGTGTTTGTGAGTGTGTGATTGAGCAGATGTGTTGCTCGTCTAGTGATCCGTATGAGCTGGAGGGCAACGCCTGCAGTTCGACGGACAGCACGGCGGAGGAGCATGTGTTGGCGCTGGTGGAGCACGCGGCGGATGAAGCGCGGGATCGAATCAACCGTTTCGTGCCAAGATCTAAGGTGCAGCCAAGCTGATGTTTCTGAGATTCAAGTTTTACACTTTTGAGTCATGCAATTCACCAGAAATCAACACTACAAAAAAAGAGAGACGTGTACAAGCAGAAAAGATCTATTGTAGTTTGTCAGATACTAAAAAATATCAAATATGAGAAGTTATTAACTCCTATTGTGTTTAAAAAACGCATATTATTATGTTCAGACTGAGCTTTGCTTAAAATAACGTCTCGAGACCACTAGTGAAAACCCTCCTCATTCGTGTGCTTTTGTTTGATTAAATACGTTTTTCATTGCGAATCATAAAATCAGGATGAAAGTCAACATGATTCGAGGACGTTTCAAAATGCATCTTTTGTTCATGAAAATAAGCAAGAACATCTGTCCTTTTCAGGATTCCCACCGTCGGAGAAATCATGGAATTTTAAAATTGTGATTGCAAAGCCTGGAAAATGTCTTAACATATAGTGAAATCTTTAAAAGTTATGAAAAAGTCTATTAAATATATTAAAATTATAATGTAATGTATAATAATATATTTTAAGATAATATGTGACCCTGGAGCACAAAAGCAGTCTGAAGTCGCTGGGGTATATTTGTAGCAATAGCCAACAATACATTGTATGGGTCAAAATTATAGATTTTTCTTTTATGCCAAAAATCATTAGGATATTAAGTAAAGATCATGTTCCATGAAGATATTTTGTAAATTTCCTACTGTAAATATAACAAAACTTAATTTTTGATTAGTAATATGCATTGCTAAGAATTTCATTCGGACAACTTTAAAGATGATTTTCTCAATATTTAGATTTTTTTGCACCCTCAGATTCCAGATTTTCAAATAGTTGTATCTCAGCCAAATATTGTCCTATCATAACAAATTATAAAAGCTTATTTATTCAGCTTTCAGATGATGCATGAATCTCAATTTCTAAAAAATTTACCCTTATGACTGCTTTTGTGCTTTTGTGGGTCACATACTGCATTGAATAAATCTTGCTCTTTTGTAATTTAGAAATATTAAAAGAGCTGAATCTTCAATATTTCGTCTTCATGTAATATTTTTTTTTAAATCCTATATATATATATATACAGTATATATATATACACAGTATATATGTACTAATAAACAGCCAATATGTTAGTAATATGCATGCTAATTAATAGTGAGAATTGCTCCTTAAAATAAAGTGTTTCCAAATTAAACACTAAATAAGCAATCAGCAGATTTTCTACAAAAAAAAAAAGATTCTGTCTAGTCTGTATTATATCTTTTTTTCCCTCGACCACATCAGGAGTTGTGTAATGTGGTAGACTGGTAGTACAAACAATGTTTCTTGCAATATTACCAGATTATTACCCCTAACCAGAACATTTGCTTTACTTTGCATGTAGATGGGGTACCTCAAAAAGGACTCCGACGGTTCCCTCAACTACACTGTTGTAAATCAAGATCCTGAAGCAAAAGGTATGAGCATCACTCTGTTTCAGTGTCTACTGCTTTATATAGCGGACTATATGTGTGTATATATATATGTATGTGTGTGTGTGTGTGTGTGTGTGTGTGTATAGAAAGCTGAACCGGTAAACAATGAGGTGGTGATCTGCTGTGCAAATGCACTATTTTTAAATCACACTTATGTACAGTGAATAAGAAAATTAACCCTCTTAAGCCGGACACATGAAATAAATAAAAAAATTTGAAATAGAAGTGTTTATTAAACCTTTAGACAAAAAGTTTGAATATGTGTTATTTGTTGAGTATCATATTTGATCCGTCAGGCTTTTATGGATCATATGTGACCCTGGAGCACAAAACCAGTCAAAAGTGTCAATTTTTCGAAATTTAGATTTATGCATCATCTGAAAGCTGAATAAATAAGCTTTCCATTGATGTATGGTTTGAAAATCTGGAATCTGAGGGTGCAAAAAAATCCAAATATTGAGAAAATCCAAATGAAGTTCTTAGCAATGCATATTACTAATCAAAAATTAAGTTGTGATATATTTACGGTAGGGAATTTACTAAATATCTTCATGGAACATGATCTTTACTTAATATCCTAATGATTTTTGGCATAAAAGAAAAATCAATACTTTTGACGCGTACAATGTATTTTTGGCTATTGCTACAAATATACCCCAGCGACTTAACACTGCTTTTGTGCTTCAGGGTCACAAATAGTCTGATATAGTGAGACTATGAAGTAAACATAAAATACAGCAATTTGGTGCAGATGCTGATAGGCCTGTCGCAATAATCAATATATCGACTTATCGCGCAATATATGTACATGACCTCAATCATTTTTGGTGACGCAATATATCGCCCAATATATTTACTTAAAAATTAATGTCACCATGTTTCGTTTATCGCAATTATTTCTGGGGCAATATATCGCACAACAAAAAGTTGTTATCGTGACAGGCCTAGATGCTGATATTTATATGATGAAATTCTGATGCTTGTGATGTAAATCAGTGAGATCTTTATAACAGTACAGCAGATACTTACATAAAATATATAAATATCAGTCATCGCTCTATATCTCCAATAATAAGATGAGATTGAAATGATCCAAACATATAATGCAATGCAATCCAATGATGATGAGAGATGAACAAACAAACGTTCCTCAAAAGATCCTGATGATCATATTTGATGATCATATATTTCATATTTTCTAAAAAAAAAAAAAAAAAGATCTGGAAATATGACTAACAATATCAAAGTTATTCTTGTGTTTACTTGATAAAAATCAGTAAAGCAGAAAGACACGTGAAGCTCGAGCTGAAGCTGGACGTTTGTACATTTAGACTAAAAGAGATTTTACTTGATAAAAAACTCTAAACTATTAATCAGACGACAAAGTTTGATCATGTTGATCATTTAGAGGCCTTAGAAATCTGCCTATCAATTATGATACAGTAGCTTTTATAGGGTTAAATATAACACAGGTTTCTGACTTTGCTGCAGAAAGTTTATCCAGAGCAATAACATCATGTGTCTGAAGAATATATTGATTATTGTTCACAGAGGAAGAGACTCTTCCTGTAGATTTGAGCTCTTTGGCGAATAAGCTCATACCTGGACTGACGTCGCTGGGCTTTAAAGACGACAGGAGACACAAAGGTAACAGGTTTTCAAACGTGAAGATTATTTTTAGGGTTGTGAATCACATTACTGTCTCTAAAATGCCAGAAGAGTCAGGAATTAAATCAGAATCACAACCAGAATCTTTACGTTCACGATTCGCGTCTTGGTCTTTGTCTTTGGTTTCAGTGACGTTCTTGAGCAGCGCGTACAACACTCAGACTCTTCAGAACAACTCCGTCTATCCTGATCTACTTCCAGAGGAGATGGACATGCTGTACTCGGCTTACGGAGACGAGACCGGGGTCCAGTGCGCTCTCAGGTGTTTAGATCAAACCGGTCTATCAGTGTTAGTGGACTGCTGCGTTGGACTCAGTTGTGTGATGGGATTTTCTGTGTGTGCTTCAGTCTGCAGGAGTTTGTTAAGGGTTCTGGGAGTTTTACCAAAAGGCTTGTGGATGATTTGCTGGATAAAATGACAGCTGGTGATCATTCGAAGGCTGTCATGCAAATCCGACAGGTATTACATTTTTTTCTTTTGACAAGATACTTTTTGTGGTCTTTAAACATTCTTAGGATTTTAGCAAGTTCAAGAGTGTGGGGTCAGTAATACTTTGTATACTTTTATTGAGCGAGGACGCATTAAATTGATCAAAAGTGACAGTAAAGATATTTATAATCTTACAAACGATTTCAATCTCAAATAAACGCTGTTCTTTTGAACTTTCTATTCATCAAAGAATCCTGAAAAATAACATGTATCACAGTTCAAAAATATGATTTTTGATAATCAACATTGATAATAATCAGAAATGTTTCTTGAGCAGCAAATCAACATATTAGAATGATTTCTGAAGACTGTGATAATGATGCTGAAAATACAGCTTTGATCACAGAAATAAATTATATTTTAACAGATATTCACATAGAAAACAGTTATTTTAAATTATAATAATATTTCACAATTTTTACTGTATTTTGATCAAATAAATGCAGCCTTGGTGAGACGTCATTAAAAGCATTTCAAAATCTTACCGACCCTAAACTTTTGAAAAGGAGTGTGAAATATCGTATTATATAATATATAATAAATGTTTTGGTTTTTCAGAAAAGGAACATGCCGATTGATGACATGAAGTCTAGTTTATGTGACATGCCGGTGAGAATGATTTATCTTTTGTGCAATAAGTTTCAAAGTATGACATTGATGACATTTTCTCGATGTTTCTGTAGGGAACAGATGGAAGCGGAATAGAAGCTGGTTCAGTGCTGGATTTCATGAGCATGAAGAGCTACCCAGACAATCCTCTAGATATGCTCAACACGTTACGTGAGTCCTATATCATGCATCTAAACCTCCCGGCTGCGCAGGCCTTTGCTCTAGCTGATCATTGGTGTTTTTCTGATCTGCAGGTAAATGTGTGAAGAAGGAGCCGGAGCATGAAGACGGTCATCAGCACTTTGACGACGCAGCCAAACTTCTGCAGGAGTTTCAGGACGCAGCGGTGGACCGAGTCGGATCCCGTCCGTCCTCCAATCTCTCGTCCCTGTCAAACAATTCAGAGAGGGATCCGCACCATTTAGGTACTGAGTCATAGTTATAATGTTATACGTCACAGGCAAAATCTCACATTATTTCAGTTGTCTTGAGGCTTTCTAAAATTAAAACAAAATGAAAGAAAAGTCAAACAGGAAAGTGCCTAACCCTGTAAAGCATGACGTGCATGAAGCATATGAAATGATAGTCAGAAATATCTAATTATTTTAAATGGAACAGTGTATTGAACCTTTAGACAAAATATTTTTTTTAAATCTAAAAAAAAAAAAAAAGTTTGCATATGTTTTTTTTGTTGAGTGTCATATTTGATCTGTCAGGCTTTTCATGGATCATATAGACCAATTTAGAGTAGACGTCACAGTTACGTCACTTGCAGCTGCGCGCGCATAGTGGTTGCAGAAAAACACTGGGAACAAGTGGAGATAAATGGGTAAAATCCATGGAATAAAAGAAAAAATATATTTTTGTGCCTTTTGATGTCAAGATCGGAATGCAAATAATTTTTATAGAATACTGTCGTCATTTGAAGCTAAACGCAGACGTTTAAATGGACATACTATGGATGAAAACTGTTATGATTACTCTACATTTAAAGCATAAATTCGATTTAAACAATAGGTCTACATAATATTCACATATGCTGTTCATAGGGGACGTATTGTATTAGCCGTACAGTTACAGCATGAAATATTATTTAACGTTAAACCCTACTATTAACATTTTTACATTACATTTATTTTATCACAATTCTGACTTGTAATATGCGTAGAACATTTTGAAAATGACATCTAATCAATATAATTTATAATCTTTTTAAACCTAACTATTTTGTACCCTATCCGTGAAATTCTCTAGCCGTAAAGGCTATCTCTCCTGGGTTTTCTGCAACCATGATGCGCGCGCATCCTGAATGTTTACAAACCTATAATTGGTCTATAGTATGATATAGTAAGAATATGAAGTAAAAAAGAAAAAAAACAACTCTTTATTTCAGAGACTCGAACTGAGCAAAAATATGCAATTTGGTGCAGATGCTGATATTTATATGATGAAATCTGATGCTTGTAATGTAAATCGTGTTTAAATCTTTTTATTAAGGTATTCAATGAAACAATCCAATAGTTATTGTTACATACCATGATTTCAGTTATATATATATATATACATACAAACCTAAATAACACATAAAAAACTGAACATACAAGCACAACAAACATTTATGGTACAAAACAAAACAACCCCTTACCTCCCGCCGCACCCTAGGGACTTAAATCATGCCACACTAATGGTGCATGATTACTCAGCCTGCATTATCAAGATATAGGAGAAGAGGAGACCAAATCTTATCCAATTTATTTACCAACAGGAATCTAATTTTTTCCAAATGTAGTACCTTAATCATTTCTTCCAACCAAAGTGGGTCAGGCTCTAATACACTGTGTAAAATATCTGACAGAGTTTTAAATACTTCAGTCCAGAATGAGATTAACTTAGAACAAAGAACATTACTATGCAAGAGAGTGGCTACATCAGTCTGACATTTGTCACAATATGGAGAGACATCTGGAAAAAGTCAATGTAATTTTCTTGTAATGTAAATCAGTGAGACCTTTATAACAGTAGAGCAGATGCTGACATAAAATGATCTAAATATCAGTCGTCGCTCTATATCTCCAGTAATAAGATGAGATTGAAATGATCCAAACATATAATGCAGTGATTGAGAGAAGATGTGAGATGTTCTGGAGGCTTGTGAAGATCATTCCTCCGCTGAGGAACAGTGAAAGTAAAGCTTCTGGAAACAAACGCTCCTCAAAAGATCCTGAGGATCAGATTTGAGACTCTAAAACATGATTGATGGAGAATCAAGTAAAGCTGAGCTGCTTCAGTCCAGTAAGTGTTCATCTGGAGATATTACTGCAGTTATTCTGACCTTTACTTGAGAAAAATCAGTCAAGATTTGAC